CAGACACCAGCCGACTGCACCTCACACGCACCCGACTGTGAATTCGGCTTCGCCCAAGCGAGACGGGTCCAATTCACTCCCCTGCCCAAGTCATGCTTGGGCACCCACACACGAGGCTAGAACCCAAGGGATAGAATGTATGGGGAAAGTTCTCGGCGTACACACTCAGCACAGCACGCTTATCACCACACCAATCATGCAGAAGGGCATGATGCCTACTGTTGCACGTCGCCATCCACGTCGCCAACGTCAGCCAAGCGCACTTGGCCGAGTGCAGCAGAGCATCTATTGAAGGCCGGGAAGTGCAGCGCCTTCGTGAGAAGTCGAGTGGTTGCTCGGTGGTCGGGATGTACTGCATCGTAATGTTCTTCCTGCGCTTCACCATGTGCTGCAGCCAGGCATAGCGTCGCTCCATGTGCTTGAGGTTGCCTTTGAGGCCCAAGCCCCCAACGAACGCGATGGCTGACTGGTTTTCCACGTTCAGGTCAGTTGGCGTCCCAGCTTCGAGCAGCTGGAACTCGGCGAGGAGGAAGCAAAGGCAACGAGGCTCCTTGGCCGATTTTGGTGGCCGCGATGTACTCTGACTTGGTCGATGAGAGTGTCATGCACTTGATGCGCTAGCTTGTCCAGGAGACCGCGGTGCCACTTAAGTCAAACATGTAGCCATTCGTGCTATGGTATTGCGGTTTTGCTTGTCGCTAGCATTGTCAGCGTCAGCATATTCGACCAGACGCAACGACTCTGGTCCGTCGCCGAACTCTAGGGCGGCGTCACGGGTGTCAGCGAGGTAGACGAGGTAGCGATAGACCTCTCGCCAGTGCTGGTAGCTCCTCACCGTTAGGCCAAACCCCCGCTTGTTTCATGCGAAAGCGATGTCCGGCCTCGTCGTCATTGCAGCAAACTGCAGCAAGCCGACCTTATGCCAGTACTCCTATTCCTCGCGCCCCTAGAAGTCCTCGTTGTTGCGGTGCTCCTACTGTCGGTAAGTAGGTCATCAAGGTAGACGAGCACCTATCACGCCACTCCATCGTCTCTGAGCTTGTCGACCTGGCTTCGCTCCAACCGGCACCGGTCAGTACGGCGCTGAGCGCCGAGTACCACAACAACGATGACTGTTTGAGACCGTACAAGCTATTCAGCAGCTTGCACACGCGGTCGTTCCCATCATTGCAGTAATCGGGCTGGTATATGTAGAGCACACGGTCGAGCTTGCTCTGCAGGAAGGCGTTCTTCATGTTGAGCTACGTCAGTCGAGGACGGCGGTGATGCTGAGGAAGATTTGCAGCGGGACGTAGCTCACGACCGGCGTGTACGTGTCGTCGTTAGTTGATCTTGTACACCTGCATGAAGCCTTTCATGACCAGGCGTGCCTTCTCGCGGGCGACCGTATCATCGACGTGGTACTTGGTCATCACCACCAATCGATTCTCTATGTCGTTGACACCTCCCCGACGCTCGACCAGCTCCCACATGCCGTTTGCGAGGAGACTACGAATCCCCTCGTCCATGGCGGCCTTCACTGCCTTGCCCTTCCAGCTCGCCAACGCCTCCTTGGCCGTCATGGTGGCGATACCCCATCGCCTCTCCGGGTCAGCGTGCATGTCAGGGTTGAGCTTGGGTGAGTCGATGCGGGCCTGCACGACGTCGAGCAACATGCTGTAGGCTGTCAGCGACAGGCAAGTGTGATAGCCCAGCCGCTCTGGTGGCTTCCAGATGTTGGGACGAATGGAACGCCGTAGTTTCACCTCGTCGACCGCGACCTCCACCGTATCACTGTCGTCGGATTGCTCCCCTATCAACAGCGCCCCTTCGTCGTCGACGACCGCACCGACGACATTCTCAACGTCGCTCGATGAGCCATTGTCGAGCTGCTCCCCTGTTGTCGGCTCCTCTGCCAACGGCTCCCCTGAAGTCGACTTCTCTCCCGTGCCGACTTGCTTGATGTTACGTTGGCCACCGGCGATGCCACTGGCCAGTGCCACAGGCGACGCCCCGGTTTTCCCCTCATCATCGGTGGCCGACGCAGGCGTCAACTTAGGCAGATCGGAGACGAGGGGCGAGAGAGAGACGACCCTGTAAGGGGTCGAGGTCGCCGACGGCGGGACAACGGGAGTAGAGGGAGGAGGAGGGGGAAGAACGTCCTCGGCATCCTACTCGTCATCCTCAGTGAGCATTGGAATTGTCACCGAGGAGAAATTCGTCGACGGGGCAGCCTGCATCAGCGCCGATGCTGGCCCATAATCCTATAGCGATTGGGTTTCATAGAAGATTGCCTCCACCTTGGTGACGACCTTGTTGTTGGTGAGGTTGAAGACCTCCCAGCCCTTGCTCTCCGGCGAGACACCAAGGTGAAGTTTCCAGCGAGCCTTCGGCGCCATTCTCCTGCCGCGCTGCTGCTCGGGGACCATGAACTGCACCATGCAGCCCCACATATGCGCCAGCGTGAGGTCAGGCTTCTTGCAGGTTAGCAGCTGGTGCGGCATCGTCCCAAGTGGAAGTGAAGCCCGCTCGAGACAGTTGCGCACAAAGACGGCCTGACGAAGGACGAAATGCCACCAGTGGTGCTTCACGCCCATGTGAAGCAATATAGCCTTGACGACCGTGTTCATCTCCCTCCGGCCATGCTGTTCTGTTGCGGGGTGTACGGACAGGTCAGGTGTGGACGATCCCCTTGCAATTTACGAATTCAATGAATGCCTTCCCCAGGAATTCACCTCTGCGGTCTGAGCGGAGCATCATCACCAACTTCTTAGTCTGATACTCCACGACTTTCAACCACTTCACGGACACGCCGGGTACATCCGATTTCTTGGCGGCCAGTCGCACCCACACATATAGCGCGTCTTCCGGTCCTTCAGCAAATTGAAGTAGAGGCTGCCATTCTTGGCGTGGACGACGTCGATGGCGTTCTCAGCTTCTGAGCCCTTGTCGGGGAAGATGTGTCGTGCCAGTTTGCCGCCGACGTAGGAAACACACGGCAGGTCGGCTTCGGTCGGCAACTTTATGTCAAGGTCGGTGGCAACCTCATGTTTTGACGAGCTCTTGATCGTGTCGACGGTGACGTGAGCAAGCCGAGCATGCCACATTTCTGGCGTCGACATCGTCGTGCAGGGGCATACGCTCTCGGCCCTATCCCTGACAAGCCTGTTGAGCCCAATGGCCAGTACTCAGAGGTGGTGGGGTGCCACATGTGCCCAGACCTTGCATATCCTTTCAATATTCTTGCTCGTTTTGTTGTGACTAGGGGACATTGACCCGAGCACTGGTCGACTGCTAAGAGGGTATTGCGCTATTTGGTTAGTACATCAGGCATGGGGCTTGTGCTCGGAGGACGACAACCATTTGCACGTCGATGGTGGTGTTGGTGTCCACCGCAGAGGGTACCTTGCTCTGCCAGCTGAGAGAAGGGAATAAGGTTTGGGGGACACGGGGATTGGGGTGGGGATTTGAGTCGACGAAGGGAACGTCGATGGTGGTGTTGGTGTCAACGCCGGCTGGTACCTTGCTCTGACAGCTGCGAGAAGAGGATGTTGGGTGATAGAGGGAAGGGAAGAAGGAATGGGGAAGGCGGGGTGATTGAGGAACAAAGGGGTAAGGGGAGGGGATAATATTTTAGTGAAAGAGAAGGTGTGGAGACGTTTCTGTAACTTCCAAGAACGATATCAATGAAACGCTCAAGATCTGATTTAGGTGCTAAGTTTGCACACACACGTCGATCCAGTCGGACTTCTCGTCGTGGCGCTGAAGCCTGATCATCACCCCCACCACTGTGAGTGAAGTGTTGTCGTTCTCGTGCTCGTGCACGAAATGGGCTTCTATGGCCGCGAAAAGCCCGTTGACTGCGTGCTCCGAGAACGAGTGCACGTGCACCTGAAATAAAAAGGAAGATGACTTGAGGCGATCAGTAAAAATCATCGTGTGCATTTGGGAAACGGTACAAAGAAAAATGAATGTAATACTTGCTTGAAAAACTCAGCATGCTTACTTGTTTCAGAATGAAAGTTCCTTTGCTGATGTGAAGCTTGTAAGTCTTCTCCAGGTTTGGAACAACCTCTGCCCAGCGCCAACCAACCAAGTGTTAGAGCAACTGACGGGTGACATATATATATAAATATATATATACAAATATATATTACTCAAGTTGTGAATACGTTATATTTTATGACGGTGACACCAAACCAGAAATTTTCCGATGCGTCCCAGTGAGGACACTTTGGTTCAAGGTTTACGAGACTTACGGACGGTGTATCCGTGGTTGACAATGGTGGCGGTGGTGGCGGCGGAGTCGTATTCGAGAACAGACTTCTCCGACGCGCTCTCCTCCATCGCGAAAGTGTGAAGTCCGAAAAGTTGCGGGGATGTAACTTCAAAGTTGAAGTTCCGCAACTTTCCGTTCGGTGAAAAAAAAGTATAGGTCAAACGCTCATGTGCAGGGGTGACTTTCGAAGTTGCGGAAAAGTGACGAACAAGCGACATCAATGTCACACAGAACCCAACTGGAAAGTGACATCAGAAGCGACATATGTGTCACTTCTGAGTCACAAATGTCACGTGGACGCCTGTCTGCCACGTGTATATATGTTTTTTGCCACCTGTCAAAGGCAAATAGAAGGATACAATCATGCGATGTGGGCCAATCAGAACCTCTTGTTACGTGTGTGATAAACGAAGCTAATTGGTTGACAATCAAATTTCTGAATACCGTATTAGACGTTGCAAATACTTTAGAGCGAATATGATATATTTATGAATAATACACTTGTTACAATCACCCTAACACAGTCACTACTTTTCTGCTAGAAATACAAATTTACAAGTATAGCAACAAAAGCTAGCAAAGCTGCTTTACAGCCAATTGAATCTGTACTCCTGAAAGAGACATTAGGAACAAATCTTACTAATGGCATGGTGGTACCTCCAGAAACATATGTTGGCGCAAGAGACAATAACCAGACAAGACGAATTAGTAGTATTACACGAAAGCACTTTGAGTTTACAAGTTACAAATGTGGCAACTTTAAAAAGGTAGGCACACTTCTACCATGGTACACTTCTTCTTCTTCTTCTTCTTCCTCCTCCTCCTCCTCCTCCTCCTTCTTCTTCTTCTTCTTCTTCTTCTCCTTCTTCTTCTTCTTCTTCTTCTTCTCCTTCTTCTTCTTCTTCTTCTTCTTCTCCTTCTTCTTCTTCTTCTTCTTCTTCTCCTTCTTCTTCTTCTTCTTCTTCTTCTCCTTCTTCTTCTTCTTCTTCTTCTTCTCCTTCTTCTTCTTCTTCTTCTTCTTCTCCTTCTTCTTCTTCTTCTTCTTCTTCTCCTTCTTCTTCTTCTTCTTCTTCTTCTCCTTCTTCTTCTTCTTCTTCTTCTTCTCCTTCTTCTTCTTCTTCTTCTTCTTCTCCTTCTTCTTCTTCTTCTTCTTCTTCTCCTTCTTCTTCTTCTTCTTCTTCTTCTCCTTCTTCTTCTTCTTCTTCTTCTTCTCCTTCTTCTTCTTCTTCTTCTTCTTCTCCTTCTTCTTCTTCTTCTTCTTCTTCTCCTTCTTCTTCTTCTTCTTCTTCTTCTCCTTCTTCTTCTTCTTCTTCTTCTTCTCCTTCTTCTTCTTCTTCTTCTTCTTCTCCTTCTTCTTCTTCTTCTTCTTCTTCTCCTTCTTCTTCTTCTTCTTCTTCTTCTCCTTCTTCTTCTTCTTCTTCTTCTTCTCCTTCTTCTTCTTCTTCTTCTTCTTCTCCTTCTTCTTCTTCTTCTTCTTCTTCTCCTTCTTCTTCTTCTTCTTCTTCTTCTCCTTCTTCTTCTTCTTCTTCTTCTTCTCCTTCTTCTTCTTCTTCTTCTTCTTCTCCTTCTTCTTCTTCTTCTTCTTCTTCTCCTTCTTCTTCTTCTTCTTCTTCTTCTCCTTCTTCTTCTTCTTCTTCTTCTTCTCCTTCTTCTTCTTCTTCTTCTTCTTCTCCTTCTTCTTCTTCTTCTTCTTCTTCTCCTTCTTCTTCTTCTTCTTCTTCTTCTCCTTCTTCTTCTTCTTCTTCTTCTTCTCCTTCTTCTTCTTCTTCTTCTTCTTCTCCTTCTTCTTCTTCTTCTTCTTCTTCTCCTTCTTCTTCTTCTTCTTCTTCTTTAAAAGATTGGTACAGTTCTACCATTGTACTTTTAAGATAGTCTACTTGTCAGCCATAGTACACTTCTTCATTTGATGCCTCTAAAAATCTGCGGCATGACGAGAAGACACGAAAGTACAATCGCTGGTGGCTGCGATGAGGAGTGCACCACACCATTGATCATAGCGACTCTGCACACGAGACATGTCAGCAAGAACGAGAGGAGAAAACGCACATACAATGCGCTCGAATGGGGAAGAACGACAATAATGCGGCTTACCGGAAAGTGTAAAACGACGGGCGCCATCCCCAGCACGGTAATAGTGCGGGTCGTCCTGATCTACCGTAATAGCCGAACCGCAACTACAGCCAACAGAACGACGACACAAAATAAGGGACTAATTCATAGTTAGGTAAGGTAGACAAACAGAAAGCACAACATAATAACATGAACATACTGTCAGAATCACTAGGCAAGAATGAATGAACTAGCAGAAGTTTGGGTACAAATATGAAACCCTAGTTGGGGTTGTACCCCATATTGGCTACCCCACTACAGCCTACCAACATATAACACATTACAATTTAACACACCCCCATAGGCAAAGTGGGGGAGAACAAAGGGTCACAAGACCAGTCCAGCAAAGCAACACAAGCCCAGGGTGGATCACAACGTCACCACACTCCGAGCACAAGCAAAGGCCACAAGGCCAGTTCACATGCAGTGCTAGATATAGTACAAGACAAGCAACACAGTGATCAAAACCTAGCAAGCAAGCAACAAGATATATATAAAGTACAGTACAAAGAATGTCAAGCAGTGAGCAAGTGAGGAAACGTGGACACAAGGCCTAAAGAAGTACAGTGCCGCTGATGATCACTAGGCGGGAGCGCCTTGGTGAAGATATCAGCAGTGTTGGCCTTCGAGTCCACGTACACAAGCCGAAGCTGACCGCGCTGCTGAAGCTCTCGAGCAAGAAAGTAGCGAAGAGCAATGTGCTTCGTCCTGTGCTCCAGTCTGTGCTCCTGACACAAGGCAAGGGCCGCCTTGTTGTCGCCGTACAGAACTGGAGGAGAACTAGGCCGCTCTCCCAAGTCAGTCAGCAGGTAGGTGAGCCAGCGTAACTCCTGTGCAGCCATGGCCGTGGCGTAGATCTCAGCCTCACAACTAGAGCTGAGAACAGAAGAAGAACGGGTGGACCGCCACGAGACAGAACCAGAGCCAAGGCTGAAGGTGTAACCCTGTGACGACCGCTGCGTAGCCAGGTCGTCCACCCAAGAAGCGTCCGAGTGGCCAGTGAGGACAACTCTGTCGTGTCCTCCAAGCACCAGCCCCATGCCTGATGTACTGCACAAGTAGCGCAGCACCCTCTTAGCAGCCTCCCAGTGCTCTCGCCTGTGTCTCCCAGGTGCAACGTAACGAGCAAGGATGCTAAGAGGGTACGCGAGGTCAGGTCGCGTGCAAGTCATCAGGTACATGAGGCAGCCCACAAGCTCTGGGTACGGGCCACTCGGCTCTACGGACTCGTCCGGAGGTGGAGCTGAGAGCGAGTGGCTGGTAGCCAGAGGTGTGGCCTGTGGTGAGGAGAACTGGAAGCCGAAGCGCTGAAGGACCTGCTGCACCATGTGTGACTGAGTCAGGGTGATGGTGCGGCGAGCTCTGTCCCGGGTGATCTGCAAGCCAAGGTAGCTACGCAGCTCACCCAGGTCAGTGCAGGTGTGTCTCTTCTGCAGCTCTGACTTCACACGAGCGAGTGCCTCAGTGTCAGCAGTAGCAAAGACCAAGTCGTCGACGTACACGAGAATGTAGAACGGCGGCAGCGACGTGTCTGTGCGCAGAAACAGCGACGGGTCAGCAGTAGACGGCGCGAACCCAAGAGCCGCAAGTGTAGTCCTCAGTGTGTCGTGCCACTCGCGTGGCGCCTGGCGGAGACCGTAGACTGGCCGGCGGAGGCTCCACTGGGTACCAGGAGGAAACGACCCAGTAAAGCCAGGTGGGCGGCGCAGCCAGATCTCCTCGTGCAGGCTGCCCTGTAGGAACGGTGTGCTGAAGTCAAGAGAGTGAAGCTCGTAGTCACGCTGAGCAGCAACGTGCAGCAGAACCCGAAGAGTGGTCATCTTCGGGGTGGGGGAGAAGGTCTGGAAGAAGTCGACCCCCTGACGCTGACTGAAGCCTCGAGCAACGTAACGAGCCTTGAAGACAGGCGGAGAACCTGGCGGCCGCTTCACCCTGAAAATCCACATGCCATCGACGATGTTCGCCCCAGGAGGGGGAACCTCGTCGACGTAGGTGCCTGTGGACTTCCAGGATGCCATCTCTGCGTCCATGGCTGTCTGCCACTGAGAGGAGTAGGGACCCGAGATCGCCTCTGCGTAAGTGCGCGGAGTGGGGATGTCTAGTGCATCCGGGTCTCCCTCAGGGGCAAGCAACCAGGCCACGAGATGAGGTACAGCAGCCGCAAGAGAGTCAAAGTCCTCCTGTCTGTCCTCAAGGATGTCCGTGCCAAGAGCACACTCACCCCCGACGGACGGAGGACAGACAGACTCAGACCCAGACTCAGCAACAAGGCTAGCAGCGTAGTCTAGACGACAAGCAGCAGCAAAGTCGACCAACTCAGCGACCAGAGCAGACGCAGCCGAGGACTCAAAGGTAGGGTCAGTGACAACAGTAGCTAGGAGACGCGTGACAGTAGGGTGCTCAGCACGATACCGGTCAGACTCAGGGTCCGGAACAGCAGGCAAAGAGGACGCAGGAGGAGACGGCAGAGGGACACGCTGAGGAGCAGTAGAAGGACGCAGAGTCATGTAGTGAGTGCCTGGGACAGGAGGAGGACGCTCACGACGGACACGACGACCAGTGCGAGCAGTACGGACAGGCGACGCAGGACGAGACTCAGGCTCACGACGCTCTGTAAGACCTCCTGTGGGACCAGTGTAAGGAGAGGGAGCAGGGAGAGGCGAGGCAGGCGGTAACTGTGACTGCGGCTGGACAGTCGGAGGACACTCTACGGAGGGAGGAGGACAAGGAGGAGGAGCCTGCCCAAGAACCTGCTGAAGGAGCGGTACGAAGTACGGCCGCGGCCGCGCAGCGTCTCCAGAAGCAGAAGAGACTGCAGTGTCCGGGTCCCCAGCACCAGCAGCAGCGCCACCGCTCGGGTCCTCAGCTCCAGCAGCAGCTCCACCAGGTGGGTCCGCAGCACCAGCAGCAGCAGCACCCCCAGGGTCGGCAGCTACAACTCCGCTAGCGCCGCCAGCTCCAGAGTCCCCAGCTCCAGCAGCTCCAGTCGTAGTGCGCCCAGAACAACCAGTCCCGGCAGCTCCAGTACCCCCAGCTCCAGCCGAGCCACTAGGACGGCGAAAGCGCCGGACGTACCAGTCACGAAGCTGCTGCGGTGTGAGAGACTGCTCAGCACCCCGAACCGGAGCACCCCCAGACGCAGCAACCCGAGGCTCCGTAGGCTCAGTAGCAGTACCCCCAGGCTCAGTACCCGCAGGCGCAGCACCCCCAGACTCAGCACCCCCAGACTCCGCACACGCCGGCTCAGGACCCCCAGTCGCAGCACCCCCAGGCTCAGCACCCCCAGGCGCCGAACTCTCAGGCACAGTACCCTCAGCTCCAGCACCCGTAGTCCCAGCACCCCCAGGCCCAGCACCCCCAGACTCAGCACTCCCAGCAGCACCACCTGCAGCAGCACCTGAGTCACCTGTGACCTCGACAGGCTCAGCGACGGGAGGAGGGTCTACCTGAGAGACACCTGAAGGAGCAGGACCCTGAGGGGGAAGGGGGTCTACCGGAGGGGGACCAGGAGCAAGGAAAAGCGGCGGGGGAGGGAGGGGGGCAGTACGGTAGGGGAAGAGACGGTAAAAAGGGACCGACTCGTCAAAGGTGACGTCCTGAGAGGCGAAGACCCGGCGCGAGGTGGGGTGGTAAAACTGCCAGCCAGGCGCGTCAGGGACAAAGCCAAGGAAGACACAGGGAAGCGTGCGGGAGGAGAGCTTGTCCGCGGACGTATCGCGGACAAGGGCACGAGCACCCCACACCCGGAAGCGCGACGCATCGCCAACCTCCCCCGTCCAACGCAGTGTGGGCGAGGTCTCCGGCAAAGAGACACGGGGCCAGAGGTTGAGCTGATGCGCGGCGTACCGGACAGCAAACGGCCACAGAAAATGGGGAGCCGCCGCGTGGACCAAGGAGGTACGAGCGACCTCCATGACCAGGCCAATGCGGCGCTCAGCAACCCTATTCTGCTGTGGGGAGTCCGGAAGCGTGAAGGTCTGCTCGATGCCCTCCGCCTGACAGAAGGTCCTCAAGAGGTCGGAGGAAAACTCACCACCCCTGTCAGAGTGCAGACGCAGGAAACGGCGGCGGAGCTGGAGACGAACTGTGCGGATCCAAGGGATCAGAACAGCAGGGACCTCACCCTTGGTGCGCAAGGGGAAGACCGTGGTGTAACGCGAGTAGTCGTCGACAACCAGCAAAAAGTACCGCTCACCGCCCTGACCACGAACGCGGGCTGGGCCCCACACGTCCAGGTGGAGGGTCTGCAGAGGAGCCTCTGTCGGGGGGAACGAGGAGGAGTGAGGAGCGGCGCGCTGCCGCCCCTCGACGCAAGGAAGGCAAGGCGGCGCAGGCGAGGCAGGGAGGGGAGGGAGGGACCTGGGAAGACCAGACACAAGGTGGCGACGGTGCATGCCACGGAGGCGTGGCAAGGAGGGGTGACCCAGGCGGTGGTGCCAGAGAAGAGTCTGGTGCGACAGGGAACGACACTCACAGGCGTGGGCTACCAGACCTGACGCGGACACCTGACCGACAGCAGCGACCTGAGGAGACGCAGTGGTCAGTGTGTAGAGACTCGACCCCGGCCGACGAGTAAACGTAGCCAGGTGACGGCCGGTCCTGGAGCACGTGCAGATCGCCACACGCTGTCCTCCAGGGGTAAAGGTGTCAACCCACTGATCCTGGATGACAGCGTTGCTCACCAGGTTCGTCGAGAACGAGGGGAGGTGGAAACCCGACAACGAGCCAGACGGAACCGCCGGACAAGGGAGCACAGTGGTGGACCGGGCAAGGACCGGGCCCCCAGAGGGGTCAGCCAAGGAGACTGGGACCGGTGCAGGAAGCGGTGTGAGCTCAGTACTGTCTCGAAAGAAGCAGCGGGAAGCACCTGAGTCAAGGGTGAAGGTGTGACAGGGCTCAGTCGGTGCAGTACCTGAGAGAGCAGTCTCTGTGGGTGCTGTACCTGAGAGAGCAGACTCGCAAGCAGTAGGGACAGTGCTGGAGGGAGCAGGTACAGGGGGCACCATACC